TCTAGTGACATTGACAGCTGTCAGCTAGGGACGTGACGTTTATGCCGATAATCTAGAGTTACGCCAACTCTACAGCACGGTACTAATTTTGTTCCTAACACTACAGACCTAAGGTCTGTGTACTTAAAAAGTAACATTTTAAATATTACTTGAGTGATCTTACTTAACAATACAAAAACACGTGAATGTGATTTCTTTAACTATAATTCCAAAACATACAACATTAACTTCATAAGTACAAAACTTTAAGGTTTTGTCACATGTGTATGAACGCTTACGTAGTTGTTAAAAATTCGTCACCACCTACGCTGATCCATGTCTTATGCAGCATACCTTATGTGTGAACTAAGGCCCGTAGACCAGTGATAGCAGAGCGATAAATATGCTATGAAAACAGCGATTGATTGGTATATGTTCCCGAAGTGTGGCTGAGGACGCCACTATGCTAGGTCCCACTGTCATGGACTGCGTTTGATCAAAACATGGTTAAATTTCGATAGCTCCTATGTAAACTGTCATAAGTCACGATTTAAAGTTTTTCGCAATATTATTTAATTAGTTTTATAATAATTGATAATGGTAATCTTAACTACTAGCTCGTTATTAGCTTCTTTGGTGTATATCGTACTTTATAATATAAACCCATATACTTGATTGACCAATAGTTTCAACATAGACGTTTGTTTCGTCAGCACATCGATAGTTTTACCATTCGTAGGCGCATGCGTTCTATTTTACCAATGTACTCTTCGATATTACATCGAACTATTAAACTTTCTTTGGTGTAAATGGTTTATTGCGCAAAATTATAGACTTTATAATAATATAAAGACAAGGAAGCGCGTTGTAGGATTATTTCATCGCTGTTATTTTTCTTTTCTGACATATGCGAGTGTTGCCAGTCTCCCGCGCGTACAAACTATTTTGTTAATATCCAGTCGGTATAAATATTTAATCTCTAACTACTCTTGCATATCCACGGTATTTTTACTATAATCTATGGTCGGGCGATAGGAATTTAGATATGTACATATATGCTTGTTATTATGTTGATGAATAAAGGATGTCAACTGCATGAAAAACCAACATTAACCGTTAGTTTTCATTGCCAACACAATAGCAGCAGTTCATCTATCGAATTAAAAAAAAAAGATAATATAAACAGGTGTCAATGAAGACCGACACTAAATTGAACGGAAACATTAAAATACAATTGGAATATCTTCCGGGTTAACACGCGGCTTAGGGAAATGTGGCTCGTACACGAAAGTCGCTTGTAACCGAGTTCAAACAAACCATGTTTTATTAAAACTCGGTTGTGCGGTATGCGTGTAGCATTAAATCCTACGAACAATAGCCTATTGCACAGAGCACGACATTTGCAGACACTAAAAAATCCTTAAAAAATATTCCTCAAAGGAAATAAAATGTCTAAACAAAAAAATACCAAAGCCTTTGCAAAATTATACAACAAAATCCAATGGCATAGGAACGCATACAAATACATAATAGACATTATTTTTTATTGTAATTCTTATGACAGTGAGATAATGACAACTCCTTAGTTGTGTCAGTTCATCGTGTTATCGATAACGTCGTTAGGATTATTTTTTTATTTCAATAGTGTCTATAGTTTTGTAACCTATGCCCTGGTATGTGGCACCTGGTATCGAGCTGTGCGAGGTTTGAATCAGTAATCAGCTCATTGATTACGCGTGAGCGGTGCTAAGTGATGTTCTAACTAATAAATCAACATACGTTTTCTATGTAATCGTAGATTAGTATCGATTGTGAGTGGAATTGATTTTTTAATTAGTACCTCAAAAGGTTTTTGTATTACTTAATAAATGATATGTTATGTGTAGTATTATAAATGGTTTCTAAAGGGAAATAAGTTATTGGTAATTATAAATGTATAAAAGATAAAAGATTTTATTGTCTGTGTTAAATTTCAATACTTCTTAATACAGATTTTAGAACAGATTCTACGGAAAAAGAAAACTTATGAAGCAGCGAGTAATTTATTTTTTAATTATTTATTTATTATAATTTCACAGATTTACTTCCATTATTTTGTTTTTTTTTTCACAATTTAGACCATAATCTTGACTGGATAATTTGTACAATTCTCTCTCAACAATCGGATTCACATATTGGACTCTCTATTAATAGCTACTCTGTACATTGCAATTACTTGATGCATTTACAAAGGAAGTAGCCGACACTGGATATCAGGGAGGCTTTATCGCTAAGATTACGCCCGCATACAGCCTGCGAAGTTAATCAGCGTTACTGTAGCGTGGGGCAATACAATGGCCACTAAAACCCTTTATTACGAGCCTCGTTTGCTAACTTTGAGTTATAACTTGAATAGTTTTATGAACATGGGTCATAGGAACAAGCTTGTAAGGAAAATAAAAGGAAAATTGATCCTAAAGAATCAAAAATCATTTTTAGTTGAAAAAAAAAAATAATACTATGCTAAATTTTTAATCATGAGATTTCGTATAGAACATTTTTTCATTTATATCGTTATGATTTATGAGTTTCAAAAAAATATTATTTAGACTTACATCTATTTACGTAGGAGCCAAATTTTTTCCGTTTATATTTTTAAGAGACATACACACACAGAGTGAATTTAGCTGGGGAGGGGACGAGTAAGAAAGGGGAAATCTATCCTTGATTCTCTTTATGGAGTAAAGATGGCAACGCTTTTTTAACCTTATTATTTATAACAAATGTTTTTGGTTACCAGTCGCTTGCTCATTTGTTTTTCTACCATAAAAGAAGTAAAATGTAGTAAACTCACCTAATAAACTAAGACTGGCTATCCAACTGGCTTGCTGATCACTGACTGTAAATGACGCGTTCTTATGATGAGGGTCCTGCATTGACGCGATTGCTGGAGACATGTAGCCTTTGCTCAGACCAGCCGCGAACGGGCCTAGAGACACCGCTAGTGCTGCCAGGATCTGTGGAATAGTGAGATGGAGATATATTAATTATGTAAGATAGAAAGAGCAAAAGCATACGTCGTTTATTAATAGAGTAAGACGCACATATGACATATATGTAGAGAGAAAGAGACAGATGTTGGTAATGAATGTAATGCCTATATGAAGAAAAGTAATGTGCAACAAAAATGATTTTTTTTCTTTATTAGTAAACAAAATTACTAAAGCAATTTTTAGGGACATCTTCTTAAATGACCATTTTGTTAAACAAAGTTCATAGACCTCAACGCGTGTACCAGGCGGACATAAATCTATAGGAGACGTTCGGAATCCGGAAACTCGACTAAAAATATCAATAGCTATAAAAAAGGCTGAAAGCATCTCAACCGTTTGGATGGATGCTTGTGTGGATATGGACTCCTAGTAAACAGTGTTATATGAAATCGATCAATGTTTCAAGAGTGTATTGTAATAGGGTTGTAATTTTTATCGATATCGATAAAATAATTAATAGTATTTTTAATATTTTTTTGACAGATCATGCAATCAATTGTTTTTTTGTACTTTAAAACAAGCTTTCGCCCGCAACTCCGTCTGAGTAGAATTAAAATAAAACAAAAGTAAGTAGCCTATGTGTAAACCAAACTATATTCGACATCTCTTCCAAATGTCATCGAGATCCTTTTAGCCGTTTAGGATATAAACCCTCTATCATCTATCTAAACATTTGCATTTATTATATTACTAAAGATAAAAATAGCAAACCAGCTTGTTCCATAGTTTAAAAATGTTTATTATTATCAAAAGTAAACAAGCCCTTTTGAACTTGACCTAAACCTTAAAATGTTTAATTATTAGGTAATTTTATACCGGATTCGATTCAACATTTATAGCGGAAAACCAATGATTTTCCGTAAACTTATTAACTTGTTAATTTATAACTACTTTGTAATTCACGACGTCGTAAAACTAATTTTACTATCAATTAAACTCTTAATACATTGCCGATCTCATTAATATTAATAGGAACAGATAAAAACGTTAAATTCGTATAGTGAATAAATTATCGATAAATATATTGAAATGGGAACATCACTAATCACTTTATACAAAACGTCAGAACATTTGGGAAGTCAATGACCGGCACACTGCCACACATTTTATCCCCCTCTACAAATTTATTTGTGCACTAGAAATAAGCTATTTTAAACTATAATTCCCAGAACTTAAAGGTCAAAGTGACTGTTCAAATGAATGGCATTTTAACGACAGTAAAATTATCGAGTCATTTGTTACGCTGAAATGACGGAAGATATTGTAATATTGCATAATAGACTTAATGAATAATACGCAATAGATTCTAAATGCTTTGTACTCGTTTTTATTTTAATTGACAATTACATTAAGAAGTTTTCAGTTTATTAGTGAAGGACTATTACTTCAGCGAGTTTATCGTTTTTTTTCACGACAAATAGACAGTTTACTGGATTATTAAAAAAACAGAACACTGGTCTCAAGCTCCGATTTCTATTTTAATATTCAGTTGTTCTTATTCGTCACTAGATGGCGTGCTACAAGTAACAAATAGAAAATGACCTAAATCCATCTTGTACGAAATCCTACAAGATCCCTACATCTATAGCATTAATCAAACGTGATTATTATTTACGTCATATAAAATAGCGCGGTTATTTTGGACAAACATAACCTATAAATTAGATTAAATTGATTGCGCGTTAGTGACCACAGATTATTAAGATGGACGATGTATTTGCTAAACATAAACTAAATAGTTTATGGTCTTGTTGTTTATTTGTTTATAAACATTTATGTCGTAGTTGCATTTAACAGTGGACTTTCACGGCTATATTTGACAAAAAAGATAAGCCCAATAATAACCTTTGAAAAAAGAATTTTACTTTCTCAGCAAAACAAAATGTGTTTACAATTACTTCGACCGCAAAAGTACTCAGAATGCGCTAACTACTGGCATTTAGTAGAAGTTTTGTTTCTTTTTCAAACGTAAAGCATAAGTAAAGATTGTTTTCAAGACAGTATTTTAAAAATGCCGGAAATACATATACCATAAATGGCGTAGTAGTTGTCATTCCAGTTATCGGCACTTGTCAGTACTGACATGCCAGTGTGCCAGCTAGTAATACGTCTACTATTAAATGTTAGTAGGGGCAAAGAGATGTTAGTGAAACGACATATGATAGAAAGACTTGGACGTAAAATGCAAACAAGCAAAGAATAAAAAAGCATTTAAACGCGGAAAGTTGGATGGATGGATGTTATTTCCAAACTGACAACATGTAAAACATAGTTTAGATCACATAGACTAATTACTGAGTTTTTTATTATAATTCCAAAGACTATAGAGTGGGCAAAGCTAGTTAATAATTGCGAATTGGTTGAATTTTTGTTACCTCATAGCTCCAAAACAATTGTATAGATCTAAATGAAATTTGGTAAACATATAGATTATAGACTGGACAAAGATATAGATTACATTTTGTCTAGTAAATATCATCCTATGGGGTAAATTTTTGTTTTTTAACGAAAACCTCTAACAAAATTACTCAGATTTTGAAAAATTTTATTTAGAAGTAAGAAAGTTACCTGTCTCCTATATCCATGTCTTCCGTCATTGGACCTCATCATCATAATCCTCGTCTCCGGAGTGATGTTCGTCATCTTCCCACTGAGTACCGCCTTCTCACACATATACACTGATTTGCAATATTATCGTCACAAACTACACTCGATGTCACTAACTCAATCGTATCGTTCAATTTTTTCACTTCTCATTGTGTTTCGATAATCTGTAACAAAAAAAAAACATTAATAATTTTAGTTAAAAGGAGCAAAAATACAAATAATAATTTTGCTAAGATTTACGCATTCAAAGGATGAACAAAATTTAATCACACTTCATGCTAATATTATAAATGCGAAAGTTTAGATGGATGGATGTTTGTTATAGTTTGTAGCCTAAACAGCTGAACGGATTTCAATGAAATTTGGTATAGATGTAGAGGATAGTCTGGAGGAACACATAGACTAATAACTTTTGTTTTTTATAATTCCACGCTGGCGAAAGTTATTGCTTAACTAAATCTAATATTGTTTACTAATCCAAAACAGCATAAGCTTTAGTTTTATAGCAAAAATATAAGTTAAAACACAGTACACTAGTTAAACATATTTCTCAAAACATAACCGTACCACGAGAACACAGACACGATACTGAGATGTACAAGAACATTGATTGACCATCAAAACAATCAATTGTGTTATAGACAATTACATAGCAGACAAAAGACATACGTAAAAAGGCGTATAGAATGCCACCACAGTGTATAAAACACAGAGAAAACAATTCATAAACTAACTGTTGCTCATGTCTTCGTCCGCGCGGAAATAAAAATCTTACTTACTAATATTATAAATGTGAAAGTTTTGATGGATGTTTGTTAGAGTTTGTAGCCTAAATGGCTGAACGGATTTCGATGAAATTTGGCATAGATGTTAGGATAATCTGGAAGACCACACAGGTTACTCAGTTTTTTTTTAATCTCGCGCGAACGAAGTCGCTGGAATCTAGTTTGTAATAATTCGTTGGTTTATACATGATTAAAATATATAGCCTATGTTACTCAGTGATAACGTAGCTATTTATTGGTGAAAGAATTTTTGAAATCGGAACAGTTTTTGAGTTATTTCAATACATATAAAAATACAAATCTTTCCTCTTTATAACATTAGTGTAGATAGTATGTATGTACAGACCCTGGTCCAATGTTTATACGAAAATTTGTTTATCTCCATATTAGAAACCTCTAAAATAAACAGTATTTCTCTACTACAAAATACGTGCAGTATGGCGTGATTACATTGGATATTGTAACGTAAAATCTATTATCTTCTTATACATATAATAAAACTAGCTGTTCCCGTGCGGCTTCATCCGTATGAAATTATGAAAATTTTATTAATATATTGATAGCAAATGTCAAAATGACATGACAATAACGAACCATGACAACCTTGCTTTCTTGATGTTGGTAGCAATTTATGGTCTCTTTCCCACATTAAGGTTTTTGTACAAAATATTTACCCACTAAGTTTAATGGCGTGAAAATATATAGCCTAAAGCGTGCCGTAAGTGTAGGGCTTTTTATTAAACGATCAATTATTTACAAATAATCTGTAATTGCTGACATCTTAGGCAACAAAAAAGTGTGTGTTTACGCTTTATTATAATAGTATAGATTGGAGTGTGTGTTTGTAATATAAAACAAAGACAGATTTCGACATGATGTATATTTGCGTTGCTGATAACGAAAATCGCATATAACAATTTTTTGTCTGTCTGTCCGCAAGCCGCGTTTGTTCCGGGTAATCTCCGAAACGGCTGTCTATCGACCGGAATTTCACTGAAGGGTATCTGACATAGACGGGCATATTATAGACTACTTTTTGACTGATTTTCCAAAAGAAGGAGGTACTCAATTCGTCTGTTTGTTTTTTTTGTGTGTTACGGCATAACTCCGCCGCTAGTGGACCGATTTTGATAATTCTTTTTTTATCCGAAAGGTAGTGCTTGCAGGGTCCCATTTTTTTGATTGATTTGAGTCAAAGACTACGACGTAGTTAAATAGTTTAGCTCAAAGTCGCGAGACGTAATTTGGGGTCTTTTTTGCTTTCTTTCCTTATTTATCTTAATACGAGCTGTTGCTCGCGACTTCGTCCGCGTGGTATTAG